TCACCAGCTGGTGGGCATCTGGGTTCTTCCTAGTCTGGGGCTGGCACTGGCAGTGCACCTAGGTGTGCCCACTCATCGTGGTGTTGCCTCTGGCTTCACAAGGTTGTTGCCAGCACTTCAGCAAGCTTTGGGGGCATAACTGCTACAGCAAAGGTGGCCCAACAGGGACACTGCCACGAGTGGGTGGACCTTACCTTTGGGCGGAGGGTGGAGAGTGGCTGCAGGGCTCCCCAAGAAGGGACCCTCTCAGACCCACAGGCTTGTATCTGGTCAGGTTTCCATGAAAAGGGCCAGCAGAGAGGTCTGGGGAACCCTGCACTGCCAGCCTGGCCACCAGCGTCATACACAGCCACATTCACAACAGAGGCCCAGGGCCCGAATGCCCAAGGCTCAGGTAAATCATTAAAAACAAAAATCACCCCTGATGCTCCTATGGGAACTCCACCGCGAGCCCAGCAAGACCCATAACGAACAGGTCAGGAGAAACAGTGTACCCGGGAAGAATGGGAGAGGACAAGGCTTGGGGACGCAGGGTTACCCTAAGGAGAAGTAACAGAGCTAAGGAGATTTAGCCATCTAGAAAATTCACAAATGGAGAAGTGAGAAGGAAACGACTGAAGAAAGAAACCCCTACCAGCTGTAAGGCTCTGATTCCCGGGATGTTGGTTTGGACAGGATGTACCTGGTCAGCTGCACCTGTGACAGGGGGCATTCAGGTCCCTGTCTCTGTCCCAGGTGCAGCTGGCCAGGCTGCAGATGGAACTACTCTGGCCAGCCCTCCAGCCACACTGTGCTCACGCATTCCCATGGCTCCTGTGCTCCTGCTGGTCTTGAAATAAAAGATGTTAATGTTTTCAGCTAAAAAAGTCCCTCACTGAAGACAGACTTGGTGTTCCCTCTTCTGTCCCCTGACTGTACCCTCCAAATATGTGTGCCATCTAAGCTACTGGCTGGCCCTGAGGCATGGCTGGCCTGGTTCTCAGCACCTCTGCGGTGTCCTAACTTTCTTGTCTCCCTGCTCTGGATCATGAAGTGTAGGAACAGAGGTCTTTCTTATTCTTGGGGTCCCCAGGGCATGGCACAAAAGCAGCCCTCCATCACTGGGGTGGCACATGGGATCTTGGTGTCTGAGGATGGACTGAGTCGGCCTTGCTTGCTCAGGCAGCTCACTGAGGCTCAGGACTGGCTCAGAAAGGCCTCACCTAAGTCCTCCACATCTGCCCACATGTGAGGGCTCAGGTTCGTACCACTGGTGACTCCATCCTGGACAGCGGCACCCTCACGGCTGTGTCCCTACTGTGCATCTATCCTCTGCCTTTCTGGCTTCTGGCTCTGAACAGACCAACTCACCCATTCCAGGTTCTGGGAGGGGAGCCCCTCACTCTTATAGAGCCTCTATCATGCAAGAAAGGAAGTGGAGGCCAGGTACAGTGGGTCACACCTGTAATCCCAGCAGTCTGGGAGGCCAAGGTGGGTGGATCCCCTGAGTTCAGGAGTTTGAGGCCAGCTCGAGCAAGAGTGAGATCCCATCTCTACTAAAAATAGACAACTCAGCCGGTCATGACAGTATGTATCTGTAGTCCCTGTGACTTGGGTGGCTGAGGCAAAAGGATCCTTTGAGCTCAGGAGTTTGAGGTTGCTGTGAGCTATCATGACACCACTATATTCTAGCTGGGGCATCAGAGCAATACTCTGCTTCAAAAAAAAAAAGTAAGTGGGGAACCAACAACTCATCCAAGATACTCATTTGAAGAGCTCAAGCTGAAATCTAAGACTCCCGGACCCAGCGCTCATCAGTATTATGCAGGAGACTGAAAACCAGATGGAGCCAAGGCTCAACCCCTGAAAATCCTGACTCCTCCTGCCCACAGATAGATGTCTGGGCAGCTTTGTTAGAGACTCAATTTTTAGCCCTGGCCCCTTCTCTGGGAGCAGCCCCAGAGCCTGCCAGGCGCCTCTGCCCTCCTGGCTGGGTCTGGATGTCTTCCTGCCTCATGACACTCCGGGGTGCTGCACCTCCCCTACAGGGACAGCCAAGTTGAGGTACATAAGGTGGGCGGGGCCCTTAGCAGCAGGATACAGAGAGCTGGCATCCCCTCCCCACGTAGCGCAGTACAGAAGGCGCTGGATGCTACCGGAAAAGCCTGGACTCAGAAAGGCTGGGCCGCAGTGAGGCATGCACACCCTTCCCTTCTCCAATTTTTAGGAGACACAGGCCAGGCTAGAGTTGCAGCATGTCACCGGCATCACTGCCCCTCCTCTGACTTCCTCCTGGGATCTCAAAAACAAGCCGCCAACCCCCTGCCAGGATCCTGGGGCTCCAGGGGCCAGGCCAGCCGCCCCTACTTGGTATGAGTCATGGACGCTCTCCACCCAGGGTGGATTCCTTCCTGTTTAGTGCAAACCGGGGCTGGGTTCCCACTCACCTCTCAACCGGGGCAGTGAGCAGGGTTGGGGCAGGATCACACCTTCTCTTCTCTCCTCACTAGTAACCATGACAAATAATAATAATAATAGCAGTGAACACAGCCTAGGTCCCTGACGGCAGGTCACTGAACCTCACGGCTCCGCAGCTTCACCCCAACTCACAGGTGAGGGAACAAGTGCATATGGTGGGCAGTGACTTGCCCAGGTCGTGTGGAGTGTGGAGGGGCTGGAGGGGCCAAACTGCCCACACCCCTGAGCTTCCTCTGGCATCTCTCATCCCCACCCCCACCCCACTCCTTGGCTATATATCCTTACCTGTCCATACAGTTCTTGGAATAGGGCCCAGGTTTCTTTTTACTGAGGTCTCTTTTCCCCTACTGCAATGATCTTGACTAAAATCTGTTTTTTACGAGTGGCACCCGTAGCTCATAGGGTAGGGTGCCGGCTACATACACTGAGGCTGGCCGGTTCAAACCCAGCCCAGGCCAGCTAAAACAACAATGACAGCTGCAACAAAAAAAAATAGCCAGGCATTGTGGCCAGCGCCTGTAGTCCCAGCTACTTGGGAGGTGGAGGCAGGAGAATCACTTGAGCCCAGGAGTTGGAGGTTGCTGTGATGTCATGGCACTCTACCCAGAGTGACAGCTTGAGGCTCTGTCTCAAAAAAAAAAAAA